TGTCAAGAAACTTTTTACACAAAGTGCTTTAGCTACGGTTTAATAAGCATATTTAATAACTTATACTATCTTAGTCTAATATATTTGGAATGTCACCCCTTAGCATTAACTACGTGTTGGAGGCGTTTTTTCATGGAATTATCTGGCTTTTGGTCGTCATATGCAAAGGGTATTTTTTGCCACTCTTCAATCACTGCCGTTTTCAGCTCTGTTCGATTTTTGGGCTGCTTTTTTGCCACTTTTTTTTCAAGTGTGTCCATAAATTTTCAATTGGGTTAAGGCCCGGGCTCTGGGGAKKRATCACCTTTTGGCAGTTATAAAGGAGTMATGTCCGCACGTCCTGGTAAAATTTAAATTTAGGTTTATTGTCGGCAATAAACCCAAATTTTTCGGCACTCTGCTTCAAATGAGTCTTGAGAATTGTGAGATACTGCTCAGCATTCATAGTATTTTCTATAAATGCCAGCTCTCCGACMMCTTTGCTGATGATGCATCCCCAAATCATAACCGACAATTTTCCAAATTTAACAGTCGTAATGATGTTGCGTTGATCCAATGCTGTTAATGCCTTGCGCCATACTCATACTGGTTGGTCCATCATTATATTATAATACAGCATGATTTTAGTTTCGTCACAGAAAATGACATCATCCCAATAATCTGCCGCGTGCTGACCATGTTAACAGCAAAAGTATAACGTTTTTCCACATTTATCAGGGAAAGCAGCGGTTTCTTTCGAGCAACTCTTGAAGTGTACTTATGCCGCAGAATTGCTTAGCGTACTGTTTCGTGTGAAACGACTGTGTCACACTCTTCTTCCATCTCTTTAGCAAGGGTTCTGGTRGAAATTCGGGGATTTTGGTCGATCTTACRGATGATTAGGCGGTTATCCCGTTCGAAAATCTTTTTCTTACGGCCACCTCCACCTTTTGCTTCAAGTATGCYTTCATTTTCCGCGCGACTTAAAACATTATAAATTGTTTTTCTGGAGACACAAAACATTTTTGATAATTCTGCCGCAGATTTTCCCAGTTGGTGATTGTAATAAATCAATTTGACTACATCGAAGGTCAATCTTTTTCCAGGCATTTTAAAAATAGCAAAAAGCAATTTGCACTTTATGACACGCGCTCATCAATATTTCACAATTAAATGGGAAAGAATTCAAAAAAGCGATGATTGCAAACTCATAGATAGCAGTACAAGTACCGTTTTTTTCTTCAAGAAAAACAAAACAGAAACAAAAAACAAAATGTGTAAAGAGTTTCTTAACAGTGTCAAAAATGTGTAAACTACTATTTTGTTGAATTAATATTTATTCTTGCAATATTTTGGTTTTGTTTTTGTTTTTTGCACTTATTAACTAAGCACATTATATTCAAAAGTTCTACATTAAAAACATTAGATAAAATTTAACAGAATGTGTTTTTCAGTGTATAAAGAGTTTCTTGACATACTGTGTATGTACATTTGTATGGGAAAGAGAAAAGGGCTGTTTTCCGGCAACTATTCGAATTTTTTGCGCCGTAAAAACCATCTCTGAACTTCAAAGAACATTAAAAAAAAGAAGTGGCCAAATTGGTCYAGGCGTTGTTGAGTTATGCGCTTAACAACACATTCTGCGATCCATTTTTATATTATAGACGCAACTTTCGAAAATTTTTTTACATAAGAACCTTCTCCTAATAATAACAAATACAACAAAAAAGAATTAGTGGAAACGGTCCAGCCATTCACGCGTGATGCCGTGACCGGAAAAAGGGATTCATTTTTATACAGGGTGATTTGGTCCCAATCACTGTCGCSCTTTATTTTTTTGTAGAAGAAGTTTTTTTTTTGATATTTTGAGCAATTAAACAATTTTATTTATTATAAAGACTGTTGGCTTACATTAGGACTGCTTAAGTTCAAATCGTTCACCTTTGATTTTTTTTACCAGCTTCAAACGTTTCTGAAAACTATTGCAGGCAGAATGCACCACTTTATCTGGAATTTCGTCCGAAATTTTGATTAAATGACGCTTGAATTGATCCAATCTTATGTTTTTCAAATTTTTTAATTTGTCAAGCATGTATCCCCATATACTGAAATCCAATAGATTCAGATCCGGAGAAGATGGAGCCCATTCATCAATCGGAATAAAACATGGCAAATTATCCTTACACCAGCGCTGAACAATTCTTGCTTTATGAGCCGGAGCAGAGCTGGAAGCAATATGGTTCGTTGCCGAAGAGCTCAGATGCATGAGGGTAAAAATGATTGACAAGCACTTCATTCAAATAGTGCATTGATTTTGACAACTTTCTCAAAAAAAAAAAGGAGCGGGAGCTTGCCTTTTTTGGATATGGCTCCCCATACCATGACAGACGTTGTGTTTTGATATCTCTGAACGGCTAATTTATCTATTGGGATATCCTGCATACTTGTTGCATACCCTCGATCATTATGGTAATTGTGACTTTTTTGCAATATGAATAGTTTTTCATCAGAGAACACAATATTGCAACTTGCATGCCGCGCAAGTAATAAACCACTTCTTTCCCGTCGCGTTTTCTTCTGACGCTCCGTAAGGCCATGACTCCTCTTTCTTTATRTCCCAAGTCCTCTTTTAAAACATTTCGGATGGTTTTCCGGCTYACCTTCAGCTCTTTGGTTGGTTTCGAGCTGATCTAACAYAATTTCGCCTTATCCTTTCACGCACATTCTTCACCAGCTCAGTTGTTCTTACACTTCTTTTTCGTCCAGGWTTTTTGGAAATTTTAACACTTCCAGTTCTCTTAAATCGAGCCAYAGTGCGTTGAAATTTAACAATTTCGCCTGTCACTTTGCCTTSCAAATGTAATTTTTGCACTAAGTCTCCTTTTGCTTCCATCACTCACAAATTTTACGAACYACTGATCAAGTCAMAAAAGTACTCAATTAATTTCACAATWAAATAAGGAACACAAAAATGTAACGGTAACAAAATTCTGTACACTTACGCGAACATAACGGTGCTTCAAAAAAGTGCGACAGTTATTCGTTCCCGCGCTGTATATACATATGTATGTATAGATTATTACCCAAAGATTTTCGGGAAAAGTCAGAGATTACCAAAACAGGCTGGTTGCTGCAATTTTTAGGAACCTGGAATATAAATATCGGAAGTGTATTTTCGTTAGATTAGGTAGGTAGACAAATGTGGCTTCAGGCTGAATTACCGCTTGATGCGATATCGTCGAATTTCTGTAAACTTGTTATTTCGTTTCATCAATCCATTCGGTGCTTTCGATGGAACTACTTATGWCCGCTATGTTTTTTGGGGACAGCCATACAAGGTGTGCTGCCTGATTTGTTCCAAGTATTCTGGATCCTAATTTTGCCTACTCGTCTGCTTTTTCGTTACCGAAAATATTCTTGTGTCTGTATATGGTCACATTGCTAAAGTGCCTTGCTGTTACAGCGCTGTGCTTTTCTTCCTCGGTCTTCTTAGTCAGAGTTCCATCGTTCCGTTCTCCGAGCGATTTCTTTTCTGTGGTGCTCTCTGCTTGTTGATTTTGATGGTAGTTTTTGATTGTTAGCTTTTCAGGAAATTTTAAAACTTCTGCTCTATACGTTTTTGGCGCTTTAATTCCCTTTCGTCAATTGAGATAACAGCTTTTCTCTTATCTGATTTAGGGATTTATTTCTCTTCTTTCGCTGATCCTCTTCTTTAGACGCCAGTGAATTTTGGTTGATACTCATGGCTGCTCTAGAGGTAGAGGGTCTCGAATTGATGCTATGAGTACTTCGCTGTATTTCCTTCTGTGTTCTTCGGCGRCCTTTGACTGTTACATCCGGGAGAATTCTTAATTGTCTGCTGATTGGATTCTAGGAGGGTGTCAAGGTATTAGTGTCTATTGTTGTCSTATGCAGACTAGTTCTTCCAAAGCAATGGGATTTTTTTTCTTTTTAGGAGTTTTCAACATTGAACCAATCACATTATTTTCAATTTAAATCCTGTCTAATTTTATTTTTCCACTACACATATTTGGCGTAGAACGTCCAACTTAAAAATTGATATTCTACTACAAAATTTCCGCTATAGAAAACGGACCCCAGTGTTTAAAGCTTGTTTTCACCTAAAATATATGGACAGTGTGTGTGACATATATTATAATTGAAATTGAAGTGCATCCTTTCAATAGTTACGTTGGCCTACATATAGCGAAAATAAAGATTTTWAAACTTCTATGTGAGTTTTACCACCAATACAAGTATGTGRATTGTCTTAATAAAATTGAGAGAGCGTGTTTTTCTAATAACGGTGCATCTGTGCACTTAAAATGAATAAAAACGGATGAAAACTTTTCCTAAACCCCATATAAGGTATCACATCGGCTCTAATCCTTGCAAGCTRCAAGGGTATGAAATATTCGGTTAYACCCGAACTTAGCTTTTCTTTACTTGTTATGAATTGTCTTAGTTTTTGTAAAACAGACGAAGTAATTCTTTTTTTAAGAGAGAAAATGGGAATTTTAAGCTCACCGTTAAGCATAAATAGCAAAATTATGTAAAGTAATATGCACGGAGACAACATTTCTCTATAAGTGTGTTTAATTTTTTTTTCGTCCGGTTATCAGTATAAGTGTCAGCACCGAAACCTCTTACTGGTTTGAACTGATGACACACATACGCACAAATATATAATTGGTCTTTTGTTATAGATAATAATTGGAAATTSGAAAAAGTATACGAGGACAAATTATATTGATAAACATAGATGTAGTTATTCACATCATTTAAAAAACGTGTAAGTACAATCTTTTGCTAAAGTGAAATTTCAAATTACTCTAAAATGTAAACATCTGTAGGGGTATATACAAATATATAAATGTTTTTTAAAACATGCAACTGTTCTGTATACTCAACACTTCATATTCGTATAAAATGATGGAAATTTCACTAGTGTCTGCACAGTGTTACGGCTATCTCCACCTCAAACACTATAAATATATATAAGTAGCAGTTGCAGTTTTAATATGGCGAAAATTTTTGGTAAGTAGATATCAGACGCAAACGTATGAAAATTTTACAAATATTCACATTACCTTTTCCATTTCGCTTTGGTGAGAATAGAGTTCTTCAGCGTGCTGATAGTCATTTTGGCTATAACCAATGCTGCATCGGTGGATTTACCAGCATGTGAGACTACAACATCGCCTCCGTGCTCTACGACTCCTCCGCAAACAACWCCTTGTATAACAACAACAACAATACCTCCAGTAATAACCACGTTACCGCCAACTACAACAACTACTACACCAATTACAACCACCACTACAAGTACACCGTGTACAATCACTACTCCAAAAACAACAACAACCACAACTACTCCAAGAACCACAACGACCACTACTCCAAGGACAACAACTACAACGTGCACAACAACTACCACTACTCCAAAAATAACCACAACAACTACTCCAAGAACC